AGGAGGAGGAGGAGGAGGAGGAGGAGGAGGACGGCCACAAGGACAAGGACTGTAGATTCCCTGGTGTTCTCTGAGCTTGGTTGTTTTCTTGTAGATATTTCATAACCAAACTAGGTAACAGCATCACAGCTAGAAGGGATTGAGGTTTGCAGTGAGGAGGAGGAGGAGATGACGACAACCACTGAGGACGCAGAGTGGTCTCTGCGCTTGGTTGTTTTCTTGCAAACATTTCATAACCAAACTAGGTAATATCATCAGTACTACCGGTAGAAACGAGTGAGGTTTGCTTTATGCTTATATGCAAATAGCTTGCCATCGAGCTGATTGATCGATTGATTCTCTAACTGCCCATCTCACACATGTGATTCTGGGCGGCCTTTAAGGTTAAAGGGGAAAAACTACCATTTAGAAATATTTTTGATCAGGGACTGGAAGAAATAATAACACACGACAGGTTTCTCCCCCCCCCCCACTTCTAACCTGACCCTTTTCATTCCTCATAACATATTTTACGGACCACAGAAAATAATAGATTTATGCCAGTGGGAATAGATTTCCGTTTCCACCGAGAGCTTTCTTAATTGTCTGGAACATTTTTGCATAATGACACATTAAACAGAACATCTTAACTACAGCTTCGTGAAAACGCTTCTCACTTTTGCCAGGCTCTTTCCAAATGACTAACAAGCCGCAGCTAAAAGCGGAAGGACGAAGAGAGGGTACGGGGTGAGCCCTGACCATTCCCACTCCCCTTTTTGTGCCATCTGCCCCAAATAATGACGATGCATATTGATCTGTGTCCTTTCTCTCTTTGCAAGAATTGGAAAAAGTCACCGTCAAGCAAAATGTCTACGAAAACACACCGCCCCCCGCCCCGCTGCGAGGAGGCCAAATAGACCACGCCCAGCATGGGCGGAAGCAAAAAACAAGATGGCGGTGCCACAGGCCACGCCCAGCATGCACAGAAGCAAAAAACAAGATGGCGGCACCATAGGCCACGCCCANAAGCCACTCTGAAGAATTTGCAACCACCAATCCGGAAAAATATCTTGATCCCTGAAGACTTTCTTGGGAAGAAGAAAAGACCAACTACGTTTTCCATCGATTTTTGCAAAACGTTGCGATATACGCACAGCTGCCGGGTGCGTATTCCTATAGAGGAAACCTAGCATGCCGCTTCTATAGAACCTCCCTCTTTAGGGGAAGTCTACCTGCACATTCCAAACCGTGGAGCTGTAGAACAGAAGGACAATTTGCCTTCCCCTCACTCCCCCGAGAAGCAGGGACTGGAGGCTGTTTAGAGAGGAATACGAAGTGTGAATAGAATCGGGGCTCTTTTTCCTGATCTGATGCTTAGGAGTCAGCAAAGTTACTTTTAATTGTCTACTTTTATCTCTTTGTCCTTAAAAAAAAACTGGCCAGGTTTTTTTCCCCTACTTGAAAAGCTCAAATCAGCTCAAGGCTTCGACTTAAGATTTCTGCCAGAAACCCTGAATTTGTTGTGGCCTGCCAGCGGCCAGTGTACCTGGCAGCAGATTCAGACAGTGAGGAGGTTGGGGAGGAACATGGGCCAGTCCTGGAGTCTGGGGAAGGCTCCGATGAGGGGTCTTGAGTCGGGAGGCAGAGAGGCGGGGGCAAGGCCGTCTGACAGTTCTCAGCTGCCTTCGGAGCTACGCAGCAGTGAGGCAGAGGAACAGCTGGAGCCTGTTTCCAATGTGTGAATGGGCAGAACTGCCAGAAGAAAAGGACAGCTAAGAAATCAGGGTCGACTTGGGAGTAAAGCCACAGGTGGACGGTGAATGGCTCCTCCCATAGGAAACAAAAGAGAAGAGAAAGGGGAGCGGGCTTTTGCAGGAAACAATTAGTTTGTTCGTTCATTCATTGATTTCAGGAGTGTGAAGATCTGTCCGTGAAGCTCAGAGACTCTGTGCCGAGTCTTTCCTCGCACAGCACCTCATTTGGAAAATATTTACATGGCAGCTTTCCAAGCTAGATAAGGTCTGTGGTCATAAATNAGCATGCCCAGAAGCAAAAAACAAATGGCGGCACCATAAACCACGCCCAGCATGCGCAGAAGCAAAAAATAAGATGGCGGTGCCATAGGACACGCCCAGTGTGTGCAGAAGCAAAAAATAAGATGGCGGTGCCATAGGCCACGCCCAGCATGCACAGAAGCAAAAAACAAGATGGCGGCGCCATAGGTCACGCCCAGCATGCACAGAAGCAAAAAAACAAGATGGCGGCACCATAGGCCATGCCCAGTGTACGCAGAAGCAAAAAACAAGATGGCAGCACCATGGGTCATGCCCAGCATACACAGAAGCAAAAAAACAAGATGGTGGCACCATAGGCCACGCAGAAGCAAAAAACAAGATGGCGCCATAGGCCACGCCCAGCGTATGGAGAAGCAAAAACCAAGATGGCGCCATAGGTCACACCCAGCGTGTGCAGAAGCAAAAAACAAGATGGTGGTGCCATAAGCACTGCGGAGAAAAACGGTTTGGGGGCGTGGCAGGCAAAAACGGTTTGGGGGCGTGGCAGGCAGTTACTACCTATTTGGACGAAGCGGTCCGAACCAGTAGGAACCCACCTCTGGCCACGCCCCCATTGCCACACCCATCCAGCAACTGGACAGAGAATCAATTGCTATTTTCTTTTTCAATCCCACCCGTGATTGGCCGCCTCTTCGACCTCAAACACGCTTGTCCTGGCCCAGCTGCTCCCAAATGGGGACCGGGGTTTATTTCACCCAGAAACGAGAGCTGTGCCTGTGGAATTAAGTATGCCGATGCCATCTTGGCTGGGTTTTTTTTTTTTGAAACGGTTCCCCGGTTTATAATGACAGATGCTCAATGAATCCGGAATCAGCCTCGGCTGCTTCATCTCTACATTAAAACAGCAAGAAGCAGCCGATGAGTCATCAGCACCACCACAAAAAAAAAAAAACCCCACTGCTGGACCAGGAGAGGAGGTGGGGATGGAGGCCAGGACATGTTCGGCACGTAGGAAGGGCCCCCAAATCGCCTCCTGGCAGATGCAGCTTGAGAGATTTCGGGGAAGGGGCAGCTTTGACACCCCCACCTCAAAAAAGCATCTTGCAACCGTTGGCATCTTTGCAAAGGGTCATCGTCCCTTCTGGTTCTAAGCTCCCTGTCAACCAGCCTCTTTGCTGCAGAGAAAAACAGCTGCACAAGGGAGCCATGCTTGCTCTCGGTAGCAACTGTGATCCTGCCAGCGGAATTGTGTGGCCAAATTCCCTTCCAAGCAGCATATATTGCCACCAGACCTGGCATCTGTATTTATATCTATTGATACGCCTGCCTCCCTGCATTTCAGAGCCCTATTCCTTTTCTTCAGGGCATCTGTGCTCACTGGGCTGCCTTAGATTATGAGTATTATTTTTTTCAGGAATTTTAAGCAGGTTTCTCCACGTTTGCTAGTGGTTTCGTCATCTGCATTTGGATCGTGGCTAGCCGTCTCGAGGCTTTGATTAAGGAGGAAGGAGGGAAATTAAGCAAATCAATTAAAAAACAATAAAGATGGGGAAGGGAGGGGAGGAGAGGAGGAGGAAGGGAAGGTGGAAGAAGGGAAGGTAGAAGAAGGGAAGGGAAGCAGGAAGGAGGGAAGGGAGGGAAGAAGAAGGGAAGGGAAGGAGGAAGAAGTGAAGGAGGAAGGGAAGGAGGAAGAAGGAAAGGAGGAAGGGAAGGAGGAAGGAGGAAGAAGTGAAGGGAAGGGAAGGAGGAAGAAGAAAAGAGAAGGAGGAAGAAGTGAAGGGAAGGATGAAGAAGGGAAAGGAAGGAGGAAGGGAAGGAGGAAGAAGGGAAGGAGGAAAGAAAGGAGGAAGAAGGAAAGGGAAAGGATGAAGAAAGGAATTAATTTTTTTCTAAGGCTTTTTCCCCCCAATTTCCCAGTCCTGA